AGAGAAACAAAACTTTGAAGGTGTGCTATCATTTTGACGCAGCGGTCAGCACTAATGTTTACGTTTTCAGATCAATCTTAACTCAGTAAACAAAAAAGATGTGTTTACCCTGAACACGTACAATCTATTGCTGACTGAAAAGTGATATATAATACAAGAACTGCTATTATTTAATCACATTTGCGAAAATTAACAAAATTACTTATTGTTAGCATGCTACCTTTTTGTCGCGGAGTGTATATACAACGTACTAATATACTCTGATGTAAATAAGAAAATCACTGTTGATATTAGAAATATATATTGATATTGGAATATCTTACGTATTATAGAATATTTATTTAAATTTTTCATCAGTATATTCAAAACACATATATTTTTAATACATATTTAACCCAATGATCTCTAACAATAAGTGGAATAAATCATGAGTTACCTAAGTTTGCAGTCAAAGTTTCGTTGAAGCATGGCCCTCTCGTTTCGAGAATCCTTTTCCAAACTTTCGATAGCAAGTTCAATTTGTCGATCCCTCTCTTTGTTACACTCATCTTTTATCTTATTTTCGGCTTGTTCGATTCGCAAGTTTTGTTGTCTTTTATAATCAAGTAACCAGGCTTCCCACTCAGCCTTCAGTGATTCCTCGAACGTCTTTTTCTCATTCGAATGTTGTTGCTTCAGATTCTCTATTTCTTTCTAAAATTCCAAATCGATGACACTAACAGATGTTTCAAGCTTTCAGTTCAACATCTATACCTGATGCTGTAAATGCTTCTCTTGCAAATTGGCCTCCATTTCAGCCTCTCGTTTAGCCTGTTCCTTGGTAAAATTTTCTCTGTCGCGTTGTATTTCTTGAACAAGTTTCATCTGTTGCGTTTTAAATTGATTTTCTTGCTCCTCCAATTTCTCTTGGTATCTGAGCGATATAAAGATCAATTGTACATTTATTTCACCGGAAATTGAGGATATACAAGGTGTCACGTAACTGATGGTACAATCATAACTAAGCGGAGAGCATAACTGAGATGAAAAATTGTCGATAATTTAAATTATTATGGTCAATAAAAAAATCATTTCAAAGAGTAAACTGTAAACTTTGAACCTATGTTCGTTCTTTTTAATGATATTTTTATACCATATATTTTTATTGTCGAAAATTGTAAAAATTCTAAAAAACTTTTTTCATGATTAGAGCCACGATCACTTTGAAGATCGAAGTTCCCTTAAGTATTTTCTTTCACCAATTCATAATTTTACTAAATATTGAACATTAGTTGGTTAAACGATAAAAATTTAAGAAATTTTCACATTTCGTCTAACAACAACAATAATAATATTGTAACGATCAATTATTCGTTTTTGTGCAGTTTGGAATTAATTAAATTCAAACAGTAAAATAGCGTTTGAAATAAAAAAATAAAAGTCAGAAGAAATCTGCATTACTTATTAAAGTCTCTAGTTTAATAAACAATTTGTTTTTGAATTAAATATTTCAAAAAATAATTAGCAAAAATGAAAATTCATTTCGAAGAAATTTGAGAATAATAATTGATACAGGACACAAATGATCGTGAAAGGCTAAAACGTACAATTACAATAACTCAAAAAAATATTGGCATAACTATAATAGTTTTTTGTCGATATTTTTATGAAAATAAATGATATATTAGCAAAATCTGTTTTAACAAATAATTCACTGCAAAATCTATTTCCACATAATTCACTACAAACAAAAGTACATACAAAAGTAATGTACGCAGTAGCAATTTTTAATAATGAGTTATAATGGTGGAATATTATTACAAAAATTACAAAATATCTTTTTGTAAATACTGAAATATTATCGAATGATATCGTATCAAATTCCAGATAAAAAAGGACGCTTATTTTTAAATCATTAAAAATACTGTCTAAATATGGTAGAGCTGCAAAAAGAAATTTTTCATATGTGAATATCTTTTTGGTTCTCGAATTTTTAAATATTATTCGGATATTTGATCTCGAATATTATTACTAAAAATTGCTACTGTGCACATTATTTTTGTATGTAATGAAATATTTATAGAAACAGATTTTATTAATATATTATTTGTTTTCACAAAACATTGCAAAAAAACTAAATGTGCCAATATTTTTTAGTCTACATATTGTATTTTCCTACATATTCATTTCTCCTGTTAATCAGGATTAAATTTTATAAAATTATTGTGCCTTTTCTCATTTTACACTTTCAACTTTCTTTCGACCATTACTATAAAGTAATGTACAAAATTTATTCTATACCTGACGCCTAAAATGTTCTTCTCATTGACCAACATTCTCTCGTAACTGGCTGTCAACTCCAGGCGTAGTTGTTCCAATTGCTGATTAGAACGACGTATTATTCGTAACTCGGAGTCCTGTAGTTCCTTCATATGTATGTTTCGTAGCTTTTGAATTTCTTCAGCGTGTTGATCCATCATATTACGCAGCTCTGGTTCCAAACCCTTCACCGTCATTTCCTGAAAATATTACAACGTTAATCGTTGAAGATTTCAATAAAAATATTTTAGGTTTTTATTGACCAAGTACGATTAATAAATTGACCTTTAATAATTAAATTAAATTAAATTATTAAATTTATTAAATTATATAATATATAATAATATTAATAAAATATATATAATTAATAATAATAAAATAACTAGTTTACTTATTAAAGATTCAAAAGAGATAGCATGTTATAATATATTGAATATATATATTAAACACACTATCTTTTTTGAATCTTTAATAAGTTTTTCTAATCCCTTTCGATTAATTCCAAATATCGACGAAATAGAATCTATTTATTATGTATGTTATTAGCTTAAAATGGAAAAAAAATCTAATAACTCCGGAACTAATGGTTTTTGGATTCATCCTTATTAAGACTTTTTTAATTATTTTGATAGAAATTCCTAAAGTTTGGCATCAGCTTTTTTAAACATCTTGTACAATGCATTAAAAGTGCATTCAACTTTTGATATATACATATATGTATTTAATATATATGAAGGGACGGACGAAGGTCAAAAGTGACCATGAGAACATTAAGAGACCTTCTCAACAGAACATTATTTCTCATATTATTATAAAAAGAGTTAAATGGATCGTATATGAGTCTAGCTGAATGAGAACCTTGATCTTCGTCGTTCTAGTTTCTATCCATCGTTCTCGTTTAATCTTCTCAGCCGCAGCGAAATGCTCCTTCGCTCTTTGTAATTCTACGATATGCCTATCGCTTGCAGCCTTCAGATCGCGTTGCATTTTTATTTCGATCTCCTTCACCCGCTGCGCCAACGAATTGCATTTCTCAGTCAGATCGGTTTTCTCCGAGATCAGCTGCTCGATGAACTTCTGATGCCTCTTCACGATTCCCTTGTACTTTTCCTCTTGTTGCTGCAACTTGGAGGAACTGCTTCTCTTCTGCTCCTCCAACTTGTCGCAAGCTGCCTTCCTTTCGGTCTTTAGCTGTTCTTTCAAAAACGATATCGTGGCGTTTTTTTCTTCCAGTAATAACTGCGCTGTCGCTACATCTTCTTTAAATGTATGATTATCGTTGTTGACGTTAGACGGACAGATACTAAACAGAAATATAAATTTAAATTTTGTGCGTGTGATTGGTTATTTAAAGTATAAAGAGTACAGTAGTAAATTATAAGGATGAGTTTTTAATCTTCGAAATTCGAATTGACTTTATTTTGTAAGAGGAATTTCTTACTTCAAGAATTCGAGTTAACATTTTTATATAAATCTTCATTGGCCATAGTTAAGCAAAATATAAATAAAAACATACAAAAATATTTAATTCAGATTCTTATTTAACATTGGAACAAGTGTTTCTAATTGATGATTAAGAAATTTCCATCCAAAGATTCTTTTCAAAATTAAAAAGATAGAAAACTTTATAATACAATGGGATGCACAAGTCTTTATTTATAAATTTCACGAAAAATCATTTCAATCTCCTAAAATAATCTCTAAAACTAATAATAAAATCTCTAAATCTCTAATAATTAAATCTGTAAGACTGTTTTACATCTATAAAATATCTAATAGAAATTAAAAATTGATCATTTTGACCATTTTCATATTTCTAGTGTTAAGAGCGCTAACGTCCGAATTTAATTAACTTCTATTTTTATCGATTATATCGTCTGTCAGAGTATACCGTACTGTGTAATAAGATATTTTTTAATAAATTCTTTAGATTTGGATAAATTTTCTTTGTCTTTTATAGATAATAATAAAGTATAATGTTATTACACATTATCATAATATTAAGTGAAATTTGATATAACATGTAATAATATTTAATAAAATCATTAATAATCATAAATAAGATATTAAATATTAAATGAATATTTAATTAATATAAATAAGTAAATAAAAAATATTAACGTATCAATATGATACCCAAAATGTTTCCATCATTATATTATTCCTTTGCAAATTTTAATTTTAATTTATTATAATATTAATTATTTAACAAGAACAGATTTATATACGCGATAGCAAAACTTATATACGAAATAACCTGTAGTTGTTATGCTCTTCTCTATACTGCATCTCGCAAGGCAGAGAGTGCGAATTAGTAAATATTTCTCCAAATACGGTGTCGTTTACCTCCGGTATGCAAAATTTTGTTTCATCTAAGGAACCTGTTGTATACATATCTATTTTTATAGAGGCACAAGCAAACAACGAAAATATTTTTGATACCGATGAAATTACTATCAGCTACCCTCTTCAAGCTTGGTCAAAAAGGACATTATATCATCGTACATTGTTGCATTTGTTGCATTTTTCCCTTCAGATTCGTCTTTTTCTGGTTTCAGCTATAATAAAAAAATTGGATCAATCCAATTTGAATGCCACAATCGCGTCATGTGCTAATATTAGTTATATTAATATGCAATATATAATATTGATGAATTAATATAATAATTGTTATTAATCGATGAATTGCAGCAAGAAGAAGACACTAATTCATTAAAAAAGATATGTAAAATCTTCTATTTTGTATAAAAAGAAACTACTAGCTCCAAGTAATAAATATGTTAAAAAGTTTTATTCGATATTTCATATCGAAATAATAATACTATCTAATTTTTTACTGTTCTTTTTTTTATTAATTTACTCTTTAAAATTATTCGAAAGTAGAGCTCTTTCTCCTGATTGCAGCAATCCTTTCAATTGCATTAAATGCACGAACATTTATTCATAATTAGACTGTGGACTTTTACTTTTACGCACTTACAGAAAATCACTCATTTTAAAAGCTGCTCATGATGTTCTAAAATGTGCTCTTTATAACATTCGACACGTAAAACAATTTTCTATCAGGATTCTATCCTTTTCCTGTTATTATATTTTTAACAATATGAATTTGCAGAAAAATCCACAGTCCATTCATAATATCGTTTCTTCGAACCTGTAATTGATCTATTTCTGGCATCTTGACAGCTATGTCTTTCTCGAGGTCGCTAATTATGTTGCAAAGTTGCTCGAACGAGCATGTAGTCGAGTCGATGATGTTTTGATTGCAGTCTGCTCTCTGTGTTTTTTCTTCGTTAATTTCCATTTTTTCGTGGACCATTTTTTGAGTGAACTGTTTCTCTTTGGACTCGGCATCTTTCGACGGAAGAGATTTGTTCACGGGTGGTTTCCCGTGGATTTTTGGATGCTCTATGTTAATCATGATCTACGAAGCAAAGATTTATCGTCGATGTGAGAATTCATGTATCATACTGAATACTGAAAAGTTGTTCGCCCCTTTTTATAGACTGCGTTTATGGTTGTCAAGGCAATGTCAAGGTAACGCGATAGCAAAACTTTTCCGCAGCTGTTCTGGTTTTGACAGAATGATTCAGCTTGACCGTCATGGTGGTCATCACTAATCGACGTTTTTATTTTGAGCTTAGGTTATTATTGAAATAAATGTGAAGAGCGTGACTAAACAAATTGTCAATATTTTAATCCAAGGATGGAAATAAACAATTATTTATTTCATCATATTGATCGAAATATTATTTGAAATAACACATTTACAGTCGCGTCGGTATTTAAGTTGACGCTTACACTTTTTGGGAAATTTAAGGTAAAAAATTTGTAATAAATGTAAATGCTATTTGAATTAGGAACAAAAACATTTATTTCATCGTCACAACAATAACAGAGACGATACATAGTGAATAAACATAAACAACAAAATAAAAAAATAATGAATTTTTGTATTTCATCATAACGGAAATTAAGTTGACGATAAATATTTTTATAAGATACAAATAATAATAAATTTTAAATTAATTAAGAGGTTTGATAACTCTTGGCTTTAATTTATATAACTTAATATTTATGTAACTTTTGGCTTCAACCTCTAGTAAAAAACGACGAGGCATACTATTTAATAATGTTTTCAGAGTATTTGCCATAATTTCATTCCATTTGCTTTTTATGGCTGTATTGAAGTCCAATTTTGTATATCTTTGATTTCTTGGAATTTGTCGCTCTAGTTCATTTCATAGATGCTCTATAGGATTTAAATCCGGGCTCTGAAGTGGCCAAGGGAGCACGGAAATACCATTTTCCTCGAAAATTTTTTAAACTATTTTTGCTGTGTGTTTCGAATTATCCTGTTAAAACACGTAGGGCCTGTCGATTCCAAATTTTTCAATTGATTGAAACAAATTTTCATTTAATAATTCAATATATTTAGCAGCAGTCAGTCTTTCATCAATAATAGTTAAATTGCCTATTTGGATGTCATTAAAACAACCCCATATCGTTATATTCCTACCACCGTGTTTGACAGTGGGTGTTATTAGTGTCTGTTTGAAAGCGTCGCCCTTTTCCCTCCATACATATTTTTTCCTTTTGTTTGAATTCAATACGAATTTCGATTCATCGTTCTAAATTATTGATTTCCAAAATGAAATCGGCTTGTAATGTTCTTTAGTAAAATTTAGACGTTTGGTGCATTCACTTTTGAAACGTATGATCTTTTTCTAGATATCCATCCATAAATATTGCTTTCATGAATGCGATATTTGATTTGCGGGATCGATATTGGTAGACAAAGATTTTCTTTGATTTGTTGTGCAGTAATGAACGAATTTTTTTTTTTACTTCTTTAGATTAACCGATCGCCACGTGCATTTATTTTTCTTTTTCTACCCGATCTCACTAAGTTTTCAGGTTTACCTGTCTTTTTCGCATATCTTCCTAACATGTTCTTCAAATATTCCAAACTGATCTGCAATTTGGTGCAAATTGGTTTTTCCTTCCATTCTTCTTTTGTAAATGTATATACCCTGTCGGATACTTGTAGCTTTCTAGTTTTTAGTATACTATAAATACACTCCGCGACAAAAAAATAGCACAGTAAGTAATTTTGTTAATTTTCGCAAATGTGATTAAATAATAGCAGTTCTTGTGTTATATATCACTTTTCTTGCTTACTCAGTTAAGATTGATCTGAAAACGTAAACATTAGTGTTGACCGTTGCGTCAAAATGATAGCACACCTTCAAAGTTCTGTTTGTCC